CACACTCCTATGCCAGTCCCACCCCGGGGGCAAGTAGGCTGTGGAAACACCCATGCATACCTTTCTAGTTGGGGAGAATCTGTCCGCTCCATTTTCCTGGAGGAAAAGAGCTTTTACTGTCCTATGTCTTGTGTCAAAAATGAGCAAGCAGCCCTGGCTGGTGTGGCTCAGTGGATTGAGTGCTGGCCTGCAAACCAAAGGGTCGCTGGTTGGATTCCCGGTCAGGGCACATGCCTGGGTTGTGGGCCAGGTCCCCAGTAAGGGGCATGCGAGAGGCAACCACACATTGATGTTTCTCCCCCTCTCTTTCTCTCTCCCTTCCCATCTGTAAAAAAATAAATAAAATCTTAAAAGAAAAAAATAAACCCTGACCAGCATAATTCAGATGGTTGAGCATCAACCCGCAAAGTGAAAAAGTTGTTGGTTCGATTCCTGGTCAGGACACAGGCCTGGGTTGCAGGCCGGGTCCCTGGTTGGGGGCATGCAAGAGGCAACCAGTTGATGTTTCTCTCCCTTCCCCTCTCCCTAAAATAAATAAACAAATACAATCTTTAAAAAAATAACCGGCTTAAAATCAATATCCCAAATGGCATGTTTGGGGTGGCAAACTCTGGCCCCACTCAGCACACACACACTCACACACGGAAAGGGCATCACGGGAGGGTGTCCTGCAGCCCTACCGTGTATCGTGCACTCGTTGTTCTAGCCTCCTCCAGACACAGACACAGCAGCTCCTGCTCACGTGTTCTAGGCACAGTTCCATAGCCTCTGGCATTTCCCTGTGCTGGGTGCCACCACCCAGGGAGCCGGGGACCCTCTGGAGCCACACGTGAGTGGCTGCCAGTGTTCCCTTTTAAACAGTACCATGCTCCTCTCCCGGTGAGAGACACCTCTGTTCATCTTGATGGGACGTGTGTTGCCCCAGTAGTCGAGTCCTTGATTTTAACACGAGCAGACAATCAAGTTCCCGCCTGTTTGCCCTCTCAGCATTGAGAAGCGTCTCTCTTTCAACCCTGACGCCCCGCTCCCCCAGCTCTGCAGAGGTGATGTCTGCGCCTCGTGCCCCAAAGTAACCCTCTCTGTCCTGAGGGTTCAGGTGCTTTGAAAATAGCGGAGAGAGCTGCCCCGCCCCTGGTCAGTAAAGGCCCTGGCGTCCCATCTTGAGTGACCCCTCTGATGGGTGGGTGGGCAGCAGTGAGCCCCGTGAGTCCCAGAGGTCTGGGAGTTAGGTGGATCGTTGAGGAAAGAATGTTCAACCTAAGAGAAAGTCTTGTAAGAGTGCATTTGAACCCAACTGACACAAACGCTGAGAAGCAAAACCTCAACAGATTGAGAAAATGCTCCGCAGAATGGCAGTCTTGCAGCTTATTTTATGCATTAGAATCAAAGGAGGAGGTGTAAGGAGGGTGGCGGGTCAGAGAGGCAGGAGAGAGCGAAGCGGGGAAATCTCTGGGATGGATAAAGAGTAAAATGGAGAGACACTCACGTCTTTTACACTGGTGGGTGCAGAATCGTGACAATTCACATTTACAGCACGGAGACGTGTGCTCGAGGAGGCTGATCACAATGAGGGGTGGGTGCTGTGGTTTCTTGCTCTGGTAGTGACGGTGCCCCGGGGGTCTGGACGGGGTGATTATTCGATATTCCAAAGTGTGTTACCTTAGGTGCCCCCAAACAATGGACAATTTCAAAGGTTTCCATGTAAGAAACGTCCAAACCTATAGATACGTTTTATGAGTTTCTTTGAGCCAAACTGACAACGATGGTCAGGAAGCAAAAATCTCAATGAACTGAGCAAATGCTCTGGAAAATGGCAGACCTAACAACTATTTTATCCATTGGAATCAAAGGGGAAGGTGTAAGGTGGGCCACGCCAAATTCACCGGTGACTAGGGAGATGGGAGAGAGCAAAGCAGGGGAATTGCTAAGACTGGATAAAAGGAAAGCAGATAGATGCGTACTTCTACACTGGTGAGGATAGGACAGTTAACAGTTAACATACACAGCACACAGAGATGATATGTGGGAGCTTAAGTTCTCGGGGGTCTGGAAAACGGGGACTACTCTGATATTCCAAAGGTATGTTATCACAGCGGCGAAAACACAATAGACGGGCTTGGTTAAGGTAAAGACTGACCTTTGTCAAGGACGATACCAGCCCAGGACACGACTCCCCGCTATGATTCGCTTTTAGTTAGCAAGTGGTCATTTCAGACCACCCTGTTCCAGGACAGGGACCGGGCCTAGAGCGGGTCTGCCCTGGGCCGGCCTGTAATGGGTGGGTTCTTGACACCATGCAGGAAATACATCACAACGTGAGGCCCGGTGGTTTTGAGAGGATGTCTGTTAAAGCTGGGGGCAGTGCAACAGGACAGGGCCTAGGACAGAAGCAGCAACAGGAGAAAGACTAGGCGGAGCTGCTCTGGCTCCCTAGGAACGTTGTGGCTAAGAAGGGAGCCCAGGTGGGGCTACTGTCGGCTCACTGGGGAGTCAGAGAAAGGGGGGCCTTTCGGTCAGGTTCAGGGGTTTAGCCTGGGATGAGTTGCCTCTACCCATTGCTCCCTGGTGGGGTCCCTTAGAGTTTAGGAGAAGAGGAGGGGGAGGGAAAGGCGCAGATGTGCTCCCGGGAGGGGGAGTGTGTGCTGGGTCCTTCATCTGGAGAATTTTAAAGCCTGGGGGTTTAAGGGAGGTCTTAGGGAAGGATTTCAATAGACTAGTCATTAACTTTTCCAGGTGTATCCTTTCAGGGTTGAGGTCTCCACTGATTGGTCCTGATGTCCTCTGCCTGGCTGTGCTGCTTTTCTGGGGGTGGAACTGAAGGACAACTGAGAACTAGATGTTATCTGCAGGGAGAGAAGATCAGAGGGGTCCAAGCTGCATGACCAGCATCTGCCGGGAGGAAAGGCCGCCCTGGGGGTGAGGTCTGGCGCCAGCTTTGCCTGTTGCTAGGCATCTGGGCCTTCTGCCCCGGTGACCTTCTGTACCTGGCTATACGCTGCTCAGCCAGTTTGTTCAGTTGTCTGTCCGATTTCTCATTCCACTTGCCAAGGAATTTTCCTAGCTATTTACTATCCTGTCTCAATCCTATGTGGTTACTTTAGGTCACTAGGTTTGTAAGGCTGCCATAGAGGCCTCCCCCGAGCTCGTCAAGTTTATGCGTGGCCCCTTTTTCATCCACAAAGGTGAAGACCGACCTTTTTCAAGGAAGCTACAGGCCCGGGATGTGACTACCCACCGTGACTACCCACCGTGTCTGGGACACTGTAAAGTTAGTCCCTTCCCCCATCACCTGGTTCTTACCTCTCATCAGAACTTTAGTTGTATAATTCTCATTTTTGGACTTTTTAATCTTCTTGTGACCTCTAGAACACAAAGATACCAACTTGTCCAACAATGCCATCCTCTGACCCAATGCACCCTTGGGAGGTGTATGCCGCCTCCCAAGAACAGTGCCAGACCGACCTGAACTTTACAAAACCACTCTTCCTCAGGTGAAGACTCCCTCCTCTCTTGACCCCCGTCTTCCTTTGGCAGGCAGCAAGGATCTGGGGATGGACAGGACTATGTCTCTTGACAGCAGGAAGAATCTACAGAAGATGAAACCTTCATCCATTTACCCTTACAAGGGTAAGATTATAAGGGCCCAGGTCTCTTCAGGGGGAAAATGTTAGCACAGGCAGCTCGATATTAACAAAAGAGAAGGAAGCAAAACTGGCTAAGCTTCATTGGGTGGGAAGCTACAGCTTCACACACTTCAGGGGCTAACAGCATTGCCCCACAAAGGGAATTGATACCCCTCCATCCCCTCCCACCATGGAGGGAGGAAGGATCTCCCCAGAAATCAGCTAGCTCTCCAGTACTGGGATTATTGGGTGGGAGAAGAGGGGGGGATTCCTCTGCTGGGAACACATCCACAAAAAGGCAAGATAGAACAGGGGGAGGTCCTTCCACTTTCAGGCATTCGCAGTAGGAGCCATGATGGTGACCATAAAGGGGAGGAGTCTAACCTGGGAAAAGGATTGGATTGGATAAGAGACACAGAACCTCAGAAGATCTAGGAAATGGATTGGTTAGGGGAAGGGCCCAGCACAAGCCTGAGAAGGACTGGGAAAGATTGTCCAGTTTGAAAGACCGAGATAATAAGATCAAAGCTTAGCAAAAGCCTCTCACTTAGTAACACGCATTTGTTCGCCTATTTGCTGGTGTGCTCGTGTGCTTGCATGTTCTCTCTCCATACCAGCCATGTGGGCTGTAGGGTAAGTAGAGGCAGTCTGGCTTCCTCACCCAGGTGTCTGGGTAGCTAAGGGAAGCAGTGTTCCCATAGCCTTGGAGGGGCCTGATAACTAGTGTTGTCATAGCCTTGAGACTGGGTCCAATAAATTGTTCCCATAACACGGAGCAGGCTCACATGCGCAGAATTATGTTATGTTATGTTATATAATTTCTGGCAGCTTGCCAGCCTTGTTCCCCTCTGGTACTTAAACAGACAGGGACTCCCTGCTGGGGGTGATGATGATGAGAGACATGAAAAGGAACAGGTGCCATGGTGGGTGCCACGCTGGGAAGCAGGGACCACGACATGAGACGTACAGATACACACGCAGCTTGTAGCGTGTGTGGCTCGCCCACCCATGAATAAAGCTGTGCCAGACACCCCAATGGCTCTGTGAATATTTTTCCATTTTCACGAATACCATGAACCTGTCAGGCCTTGAAGGGTGGCAACACACGGGCCTAGCAGCCACAGGGGGCCCCCAGCATGGGTCTGGGTACAGCAGCACAGCGCCGGCTGAAGCACAGCCAAGAACAGAGACAAAGCTGGCCGGATGGGGACAGGCCGACTGGACTAAGCTTTGGCATGGACTGAACCAATGGCACAGCATTTCTCCTGGGTCCTTGTTTGAAGCTTGATGAAGACAAGGCCGGACTTCTTTCACAGCGGGGACGGATGAGATGAGACACCGGTCACCTGGGAGCTGCAGTCTTTTATTTCTGGCCCAATAAATCTTACCACTGCATCTCATCCTCCCATATGGGGGTCCCCAAAATGCTTTTCTTGCAACTTCGTCGAAGGTCCCTATTTCAACTGGCAGCAACCAGGCCCAGGGGAACCCTCAGGAGAAACCTGGGAGGTACAAGGGAAACTCATGAGGTTGAACAAGGGTCCCAAGGGGGGGACCCTAACCTGAAGCTCCCGAGGCTGAGCAGGTCATTGATCGTCCCAGCAAGCGAGCCCATGAGCTCAGGGTCATCCTCGGCCCTCTCTACCTGGCATGTAAGCAGGACCGTCAGCATGAGGCCCATCCTCCCACCTTGGCTTGTCCCCGGCCTCTGCTCCCTTCCCTGACCCAGAGCACAGCCCTGACTACAGCATCTGTATAGTGTCTGTTCCCCTCCCCCTCCCTCCTGGCAAATACCAGCCTCCATCAACACCCCTGCCCCAGCAGCAGCACGGCCCTGGGTGGACCCCAGGCCCTTCACACCAACCCCTTCCCCAAGTCTCCCAACAGGCCACGGTTACAAACCAATGGTTGAATAGCCCACCGAACGAGAGAAAAATGCCATTTAAACTTCTTTGGAATCACAATGAAGCTGTTGAAAACAATACTACTACTACTACCAAATAACAATAGGAAAGTGTTTAAAAGACATTCAGATAACCAGTGGAAAAAGGCCCCTGCAAAGTGGAGTTTCTATTTGCCCATTTCTGAAGACTGGCCTGCCTGGTTTTCATTTCCAGGGCAGAGAAATAAGAGTACTCCCCACCCTGCAGAGGTGTTGGCATCCCAGCCTTTGTTCCACATGCAGCGACATTCTGGCACATGAAGTGCCTGAGGGCAAGAGAGGGTTTCCATCCAGCCCCCAAATCACGGGCAGTGGATGCTGGTTACAAACAAGCTATTTAAACAGAAACATATACATAACATTACTCTTAATGACAAAAGACTAGAGGCCTTGCCTCTTATGTTGGGAATAGGGTAAGGATGTTGGCTCTGTGAGAGCCAATGTTATAAGGCAAGAAAAAGAAATAGAAGGCATAACAACAGGAAAGGAAGAGGTGAGTGTCTACTCAGAGATGGCATGACTGTCGGTGCAGGAAATACTAAAAATATCTATCAAAAATAGCTGAATTAATAAGTGAATTCAGCAAGGTTACAATATATAAAGTTCATATACAGAAATCAACAGTGTTTCTAATACTAGCAATAAGTAATTGGTAAATAAAAAGTTTAAAACACCATTTGTAGTAACATTAAAATGATAAAATCTCTAAAAATTGAATGAAAGTTGTGTATGTTATTTACACTGAAAACCACAAAATATTGCTGAGAGAAATTAAAGATCAGCTAAAGAAACAGGGAGATGTGCCATGTTCATAGAGCAAAAGCCTCATTTTTAGGGTGAAAATTCTCCCCAAATTGACCTATGTGTAGATTGAATGCAATCCAATCACAATCTCAACAGCCTTTTTATTTTGTAGAAACTGAGAAGCTGATTTAAAATTTATATGAAACCTTGGCCAGTGTGGATCAGCTGATTGACCATGAGCCAAAAGGTTGCTGATTCAATTCCCAGCCAGGGCACATGCCTGGGAATGTTGGCCCATGAACCAGAAGGTGGCTGGTTTGGTCCACAGTTGGGGACGTGCAGGAAGCCGCAGATCAATGTGTCTCTCTCACATTGATGTTTCTCCCCCACTCTTGCTCCCTCCCGTCCCCTCTCTTTAAAAAATAAATAAATAAATAAATAAATATTTTAAAAATTTTGTATAGAAATTGAGGGACATTCAATAGTCAAAACAATTTTGAGAGTGGAGCAGAGAGGGTGGGCTCACGCATACACAGACAATCAAAGGGAAAAAACCGAGTCCAGAAGTAGACTCACACATACACGAACAACTGATTTCAACAGACATGTGGATGTTATTCAACTGGGGAAACACAGTCTTGTTTTGTTTTTGTTTTTTTGAGAATTTATTTATTTTTAGAGAGGGGAAGGGAGGAAGAGAGATCGACAGAAACATTCATGTGCAATGCATACCCCCAACCGTAGGCCAGCCTGCAACCCAGGCATGTGCCCTGACCAGGAAATTAACCCATGACCTTTTGGTTTACAGGATAATGCCCAACCCACCGAGCCACATCAGCCAGGGCTGGAAGGACAGTCTTTATATCAATAGTGCAGAAACACCTAGAAATGCCCAGGTCACTCACAAGCACTATTTTGAAATGGTAATGGACCTAAGTTTAAAAGTAAAATCTGTAGGATGTCTAGACCTGTGTCGTCCTTTGTGATAGCTATTAACCACACAGGGTATTTCCATTTAGATTATTTTGGTTTGAAGCCAAAACTAAAATGGAAATTTCCAGCCTCATTCCCAGGGCTCACATGCAGCCGGAGGGCGCCAGGTTGGACAGCACAGATATGCAGCCGCGACCATCGCGGAAGAGTCCACTGAACGGTGCTGTTATGGATGAAAACATAGGAGGAGATTTCTCCAGCCTAGGGTGGGCAGATGTTTCTCAGGATACAGCAAGCGAGGAGAGGAAACGTGGATAGCCTGAACTTCATCAAAATTAAATCCTTCTGCTCTTCAAAGGATACCACTAAGCAAACAAGACAAGCCACAGCTAAGAGAAAATATTCATAGTCCATGCATCTGATCCAGGACTCGTATCCAGAATACATAAATAACATTTACAACTCGCTACTCAATATTTAAATTATGCAAAATGTTCAAACAGACTTATAACGAAGACATACACATGCCTGATAAGCACATGAAAATATGCTCAGTATCATAATCATTGGTCATTGAGGAAAGAGCATGTCACCCCCACTAGAAAGGCTAACACTACCTGGCTGGCGTAGCTCAGCGGATTGAGCGCGGGCTGGGAACTAAACTGTCCCAGGTTCGATTCCCAGCCAGGGTACATTCCTGGGTTGCAGGCCATAACCCCCAGCAACCGCACATTGATGTTTTTCTCTCTCTCTCTCTCTCTCTCTCTCTCTCTCTCTCTCTCTCTCTCTCTCTCTCTCTCTCCCTCTCTTCCCTCTCTAAAAATAAATAAATAAAATCTTTAAAAAAAAACTTAAAAAAAAAAAAGAAAGGCTAACACTGAAAAAGCTGACAGTACTAATTGTTGGTGAGGATGTGGAATGTGCAATGGGACAATTGCCTTGGAAAACATGTGGGCAGCTTCTTGTAAAGGGAAGCATGCATCTGCAATGAGACCTCACAGTCCACTCCAGGCATCTACTCAAGAAGTGAGAACTTACATTCACACAAAAACCTGTGCATAGGTGTATGTAGCATTCTTATTTGTAATCACTAAAACTGGCAACAGCCCAAATGTCCATCAAGGAATGAAGGGTAGATCACACAACAAAGACCACTCAGAACCACAAGGGAAAAACTGCCGGGTGCGTCCCAGAAACGCTGCTGAGTCCCCCTGCCTGCAGAACTGTCCAGGAGGCAGCTCCGTGCTGGGGTTCGGGGTGGGTGGGAAGGAGCTGGGCTCTCGGAGGATGCAAGTGGTCTGTGTGTGGATACATGTGGAGGTGCAATGTATGTTGTCAGAAGGCATCGAGCCACATACTCACATGGGTATGATTTATTGCATGTGAATTGCACCTCAATCAATCGGATGTTTTGTGAGCCTGCACCGCTGTAAGTGGGTGAAAGGCCTGGGACAGGCCGAGAGCATGGAGCTCCCCTCCCTGTGTCCCTCCCTCATCCCCTTGGGAGTCCAGCCCCAGTTTGTGGAAATGCTTGGAAGAGAGTAGTGAGCCACGAGGTCCTAAGAGAGCAAGAGGCCAGGGCCCAGGAGAGGCCATGGGGCGTGGGAAGAGGCTGCTGCCTGGGTCCCCCCACAGCCCAGAAAGGGTGAAGTGGTGAAGTGGCAAGGGTCCAGTCACATTTGACACAGTGTCCTGGAGCCTTGAGATGCGTGTGTGTGTGTGTGTGTGTGTGTGTGTGTGTGTGTGCAGGGAGAGTTAGGTGTGCTCTGGGCTGGGGCACACTAATGGCCACACAGGTTTCCACGTGACTTGTCTTCTCCCACGAAGACCCCACCCTCTGGCCCAGGGGCCACCCTAAAAGGCCAGAGCCCCTTGCATCCCTCCTGCACTATGGGATCTGTCTCTCTCCAACCCCAGGTTGATTCACTGAGACATTCCAGAAAGTGGTCCATGCAAAACACAGGCCCTCCAGTCCCCTACTCCCCGGAACCCTGGCTCCAGGGTTCCCTCACATTCTGTCAGTGTTCTCAGAGTTCCCTGCCTGCCTGCCTCGCCCAGGGCAGTGACTCCCCCTGGGTAGAATCATTTCCCTGGTTTGGGGCTCCCGCTGGGGGATGATGCCTCCCACTACCCTGAGACACTGTGTGCCCCACAGGGCGGGGCTGGCCTGGCTCTCTGGCCCCCTCTGCCAGTGACAGCCAGTGGTCCTCACGGGTTCTCCCTGCTAGTGCCTTGTGGAAGTGAGATGCGAAGGGTAGGTTCTTGTCGGAATGTTCTGGGCTCCTTTACCTTACTGGGTTTGAGAATAAATTTGAACTTTATTTGCCAAGTTTCGTAAAAACAAAAAGACCCTCCTGGGCTCTGGAGTAGAGCTCAGGGAAGAGGCAGATGGGACAGCACTGACCTCTTATAACTGAGGTCTGAGCTTTCATATAGCCCAGGGCTGAGCAGGAGGCTCCGAGGGTGAAGGGCGGTGGGTGGAGCAGCTTGGAGCCTTGGGGCAGCCTCAGGCGGTCCTCCTGGGCGCCTGTCTCCTGTGCTGGAGCCTGTCTTGTGTGCAGGCATGGGGCATTATCAGTACTTTTCTCAGGGTGGGGGGTGGGCTGTTGTTCCCCAGCTGTCACGGCCCCCACACGGCAGTCCTTCCTCTGTCCTGTGCCATTTGTGTTACTGTAATTCTTGGTCTAGTTGCCCAGAGCATTCCCTATGCCATGTTCTTTTCTTTTCTTTTTTTTTTTTTACTTTATTCATATTTATTTCATGCTGAAATTACTCCTGGGCCATGAGCTTTTGTTTCTGTAGTTTCTTCTGAGGTGTCTTCTTCTTCGGTGCAGCATCCTCACCTCGTTCGGGAGCAGTCTGCTCTTTCTCAGTAGGGTCATCTCAGTGTGGCTGGGAGAGCTCCTGTACAGGTAAATCCTCCCATGAGCTCTGCAAGTTCTGAGCCACGTCTTGGGAGCTTCGCTCACCCGGATGTGCCCAATGACCAGAGAATCTACATCTAAACCCTTAAGTTCAGCATTACTCTCTGCATTTTTAATGCCCAGAGCATTCCCTAGGCCATGTTCTTTTCTTTTCTTTTTTCTGTACAGCAAAAATTTGGCATTCTTTTTGGGCCACTGACCCTGTGCCCAGCACCACTGTTAGGCCTGGGCACACCTACCAACTCCACCATTGTATTGACGGAATGGGACACACTGCTTCTTTGAAGTGACATCTTTCAGATACTTGGTGGCTTTAGTGGGTGGCTTTTCAAATATGCATACCCTTGATGGCCTGGGAAGTTTCGTGAGTGTTCTTAAAGTGAACACGAAGATTGGAATCTTTCTTTCTTTCTTTCTTTTTCTTTCTTTCTTTCTTTCTTTCTTTCTTTCTTTCTTTCTTTCTTTCTAGGCTGGGAGGTAAATGAATAGAGCAATGCTTTCTATCCAATCATCTCTCCTAAGCCTGCCTGTGTTTCAATGTCCCAAAGTTTAATGAACAGAACAGGGAAGCTGTCCTGAACTGAACTCAACACTTTGGAGTGGAATCTCTTGATTTGCATGGTTTTGTGGGGTTTTCTGGGTCAAGTGAAGAGCGAACCATCTTCAGAGGTCACCTCAGGACAATGTAACAGTGTGCAGCAAGGGGGCCCCCAAACAGGGATTTGTAATGGGGTCCAGAACTCAGGGTGTCCAGGAAATATTAAAAAAATATAGGATGTCCTCACCCCCACAAATCTGAACTGGGGGATGGGACATATGGAGCAGGGCCATTGAGAGTTGTTCTGCATAGCAACAGTTTTGCAACTAACCTCAGGCATGGTCATTTAACATATCTATACATTTTAACTGGCTTCATGCATATGTTAAATAACTTTGAGTCAGGGAGATGGGAGTGACTTCCACCCAAGATGTAACTGGGAAGCAACTCCCCCAGTTACATCGCCTGCGTGAGAGCTTGGAGATGATTGGTTCCATGCCATGGGGCCATGCCTGCCCTGACTTACTATGGCAGCCCAGTAAAGCTGGAAAAAGATGGGAATGCTGGCAGATGTTGCCGATTGTGGGAAGAATCAGAAATAGGGCTGCAGAGGAAGATTGGTGCTGGGATTTATACCCAGGCACGACAGCCATGCTAGAGGGGACCACGTGGCCTTGGAGTAAGGGGAGAACCACAAGGCTTTGGGAGAAGGGGACCATGCAGCTCTGGAGAGAAGGGGGACCCATGCGGCTTTGGGGCTCCCTTTGCCATGCAGCTTAGGAAGTCAGAAAGCAAGATGTAGCAGCAATGCAGAGCTCTGTCTTAGCAGTTCGGAAGAATGTAGTAGAGATGCCGCACGAACAAAAGGAGTGAAAGGACTCTTGCTGGTGGGCCATGAGAAGGGGTCCTGTGTGTTTGGATTAAGAACTGGAGATCCCAGTGACAAAGCTGATGGTGCTGGGAACCACGGGAGGCCTGCCACCCGAGCACGGGTTACTGGGAATAACTGGGAGTTACCTGAGCCACGGACCTCTATTTCTTTTCCTGAGATCCAGCACCCCTGACTGGCTGGACTGGGCAGAGTGGGGAAGGAGGGACTGCGTGTGTTTGTGGGTGTTTTAAGGGACTTTAATGAAGACATTAAGCCATTACTCTTAAGTCTGTATACCTTATTTTGAATAAATAATTATTTTCCTTTTCACCAATCTCTGACACTGAGAGCTGTAATTCCCTGGCCATGGGCAAGGCGAACCTAGTACAGGAGGACCCTGGGAGAAAGGGGAGTTCATTTGGTAATAGTATCCTGTGTGTCCCCACATACCGGTCCATTCTGCAACAGCGGTGTCAGGAAGAGGAAGCTTTTATTTATTTTTTTAAAGGAATTATCTTTTGGTTTAAAAAGATCAAGTTTATTTGCTTTCCAATTTCTGCTTTTCTTGTCATGTCATTCTTTTTTATTTTCTTTTATTGACTTTGCTCCTTTTCTGTTCCAGTGTCTGAGTTAACAGCTATTTTTTTTTAATTTGAGTAATAAAACTAGGAAATAACACAAACATCGTTGTGCAATGAATTCTCCAAAACCAGGTCAGTTTTCACTTCCTTTTTGACTCAGGACTCATTTGGAAAAATAACTGAAAATTTTCAACAAGTAAAGCTTTGTTGTATTTTTTTGTTTCATTAATATTTTTTATAAAGTTCAGAAAATGTGGCCTAAGCAATTTTTTATTTTTTAGTTTTTTAATTACTATACCGTTGTTCAATTACAGTTGTCTGCATTTCCCCCCATCACTCCCCCACAATTTTTAATTTTTTTTTTTTGAAATAGAGCTTTGATTTACAGCTTGGTTTGGGGGCTTTTAATCTTTTTTTAATTTTTTTTAAAGATTTTATTTATTTATTTTTAGAGAGGGAAGGGAGGGAGATAGAGAGAGAGAGAGAGAAATATCAATGTGTGGTTTCTGGGAGTCATGGCCTGCAACCCAGGCATATGCCCTGACTGGGAATCGAACCTGCGACACTTTGGTTCGCAGCCCACGCTCAATCCACTGAGCTACGCCAGCCAGGGCGCACTTTTAAAATTTTTAATGAGACTTAAAAAAATGTGTATGCTCTGTATGTGTTCTGCATTTTATATGAAAAAATAAAATCACCAATAGAATTTGTTTTGTATGCCCTCGTTTTGCATTTCTTCTGTGATCTACAGCATGTGCCCCAGAACCCAGGTTCTGGGTGGCTGGGTGCGGCTGCACTCTCCTCTGGTCCCACAGACTTAACTCCCGCACCCCCATGCGTGCAGATGTGTTTCATCCGTGTAACATGCCCTCCCACACCCACTTCACTCTTTACCTTGAATGCAGCTTTCTCTGGTGTTAACACCGGCTCACGCCCATTCCCGGGCTGTGCTTTTCAGCCCCTCACTTGCACACTTTTCTTGTCACGTGGTCACCGGTGTGTCCCTCACAGGTTTTGTTTCTCTGCATAAAGGCTGTCCACCCTGAGCTCCCAACCTTCGTCCCAGGTCACCCCACGAGGCAGGCCATGCTGGGCACTAGGGGCTTCAGAAGGAGGAGCCTTGATGACCCTGGAGGATAGGACCACCGTGAGTTGGAGGAGGAGCTAGGCCCGAGGTGACAGGTCTGATCACTGTGTCAGCCCCACACAGCAGCACCTCCCGACTGTGGGCTAGAACCAGCGCCCGGCCTGTGGCCGCCGGCCTGAGCCCACCCTGGGGGGGCCCTCCCAGCCAGCTGACCTGCTACAGGCAGGAACACGCCGTCAGAGAAGCCTGGTGGGCTGCAGCGACGGGCTGACCCACACCCACCGCCTCAGGTTCGGAGAGGACTACTGTGGGCTCGTTTCCTCCTTAGCAGGTTTTTCTTCTCCCTTTAAATTCAAGGCTGATGGCATCCTGGCTGAGCAACTTCGCAAGAAGTCAGTTTGGGAAAACTGGGTGAAGGATACGTGGTATTTGTTACAACTCCATATGGATCTATAATTATTTCCAAATTTAAAAATTAATGAAAAGACCAATAAGGCTGATAGATTACATAATTAAAAAGTAATAGCTACCCAGATGTAAAAAAGTCCGGCTATGAAGTGGAGAGCAGTTCATTCTGCATTGTTGCTGTATCCAGGGAAACCGCACGGCTAACTTCTCGAAACTTTTACGGACTGGCTGGTCTCTACTCCTTCCCCATGTCACAGCCAGCTGTTGTCACTGCAGTGCTGTGTCACAGGCAGTCCAAACTCAGTAACTGTCAGAAGAAAGCATGCTTTCCCACCCACCAGCCAGTGGGTGGCTAGGGGATTGGCCTGTCCAGCTGGGGGCTCTGGGCTGCAGGGGGTCCTACTCCTCTCTCGAGGTTCTAGTCCTCCTTGGATCAGCAGCCACCAGGTCACCGTTAGAGTCTCTCACGGGAGTGGACAAGGCAAGTCCCACCCCAGGATATATTTCAGCCCGCCCCACCTGCTAACACTCATTGGCCAAAGCCGAGCAGGGAGTGACTGTGCCACCCTGAGGTCATGGTGGGGGGTGGGCTTCAGTCCAGGACTCAGTGGGGTGGGGGAGGGCTGCGGGACTGGGTGCTCAGTGGGCTGCACCTTCCAAGTGGCCCCTGCTGCCAATGGCTCTGGGTGCCCCACCTTAGCTTACATGTCTCCCCTTGTTTGCTCCTGCCCTGATCCCGGCTGAGGGCTCCTGGACCTTGGGGAGGAAGCTTTTGGGTGTCAATGGGCACTGAGGTCGGGGGCTTGGCCGTGGGGCAGCAAGAGCTGGGCATCCATCCCAACCCCAACTGGGTATGCACAGAGCAGCCTGAGCACAGTGAAACAGAAGGGTCCTGGGGGTGACACAGTCACCCAAGGGCTGAGGGCACAGGTCCTGCATATCCCCAGCCCAGCCCTCAGAGCCCGAAATGTGGCCTTCCCTGACCACAGCCAGTGGACGGAAGGGGGCGTGGCTCTCAAACGTGCATTTCATTCCCGTGGAAGAGAAAAGCGCCCTCCCGAGTTCCTGGTTCTGTCTGCCTTCGGCGCTTAGGGGAGCAGTGAGGCACAGGCTGCTGTGGACCTCCCTGGGGCACTTAGCCTCTGAAGGGCCAGGTCCAGAGGCCCCTCTTCCTGGGTGGTTGCCTGGACCCTTCAAGCATCCTCACCGAAGTCTTCCAGGCACAAGAGGGGCCAGGATGCACTTCATGGTGGAAGGTGAACCAAGACATGGTGCAGAAGCACTGTCGGGTCCCCTCCACCCTGAGGACCAGTGCCAAGGCGATAGCTGGTGGCCGGACAGTCTTCTTGGAGGGGGCTACTCCCAGGCCAGGCACTACGGGGTTGGTCCTTGGGTATCTTGGTGGGAACCTTTTCCAGAGGTGCTTTGGGGTGCCTGCAGCACCTGTGTGGTAGCATTTGGTCTCAGCCCTGCTTCTGCAGCTGACATACGTCAGCAGAATCCAAGGCTGTGGGAAAGGCACAGTCCATCCCACCCACTTTCCAGGCCAGAGGCCACTTGGCTGTGTGACAGCCAAGGTATGTTAGGTCAGTGCACGACCTTCTGCCCTTGCAGTGCTGAGCACAGGCCCGCGTGTCCTACCCCTCCCTTCCGTCTGCCTCTCCCTCTTTCTCCGTCTCCATCCTCCTTTTCCTATCCATCCCCAGCCTCTGAGTCCAGTCTCATTCGGCAGAAGAGGTCAGCTAGACTCCTGCCCTCAGCGGGCCCCCATTAGGCATCTTGCAGAAGAGGACAGTCAGCTCCTCACCTTCCTGAGACAATCACGTTCTTCCCTGATCTCTCCTAAGTGTGGCTCAAGGCCATCCCCCCAAACCCCATCTCTTGGTCCCTCCTTTGGGGGCTTGGAGAGTAGGCTGTCTCCCTGGCTGAGGCCAGCATGCCTGGCAGCATCTGAGGGGCCTGGGCAGCAGCTGGCTACCAGGAGGGCGAGTCTACCTCTGACTGCCCTGGAGCCTGGGAGAGCTGGGGGGTGGGTAACCTGCGTGAGACTCCTGTGTGGCTGGGGAGCAAGGACAGCTGTGTTCAAATCGGGCGCAGGTTATGTCTCCCCAGAAGGGGTAAGCCCCGCCACCTTCCACGTCTCCAGCTTTGAGAGGTGGACTGGGCTGGGGACAAGCAGGGTCTTGTTGGGGACAAGGCCTCAAATAACCATGGCCCACCCCCAGGACCCTTCTGTTTCACTGCTCGGGCTGCTCTGTGCACACACAGATGGGGCCGAGCTGGCCGTCCCCGCTCTTGCTGCCCCACGGCAAAGCCCCTGACCTTGGTGCCCACTGATACCCAAGGGCAAGGTCCCTTGAAGTCCTGCTGGGAGGAGGGCCCGAGAGAGCCCACACTGGAGGGCTGGCCCCTTGCTGTCTTGACCTGGACTGTAAGCTGTCAGTCTCTAGCTAGTATCAGGGAAGGAAGGGGTGTTGGGAGCACGGGGGACATTCTGGGAGGAGTGCCAGGAGATAGTGAGCTGGGGGCATCTCTTCAGGGTGGGAGGAAGAAGGGCTGGGTACTGCTCCACAGTACAACTCCAGAGCCCCTCTGGGCTCCTTTGGGAGGGGAGGGGGTCTCTGTGGGCCTGTAGACAGACCCTAGGCACCCTCTGAGCAGGGGTGACTGGAGCCCATGGGTGGGGAAGCTGGGTGGATCAGTAATGCTGGGCCATCCTGACCGTGGATCCCCCCAAGGACCAGCTCTTGCTCCCTCTGTGACCCTTGCAGCACCTACCCCGACCCTGAAGCCAGTCCTTACATGTCTGGGGAATAGATTATTAAGCACAGAGAAACACTTAAAGCTACAGTGACTAAAACACAGGGTCCATTCTCGAAAGTGACACCCCAAAACATTGGTGTCTGTACACCTCTCAGTTTGGTGACAATGCTTTCTACCAGCTGCATCCGTGGAGCCTCTGAAGCCAATGCCCTGGCTCCTGGGGCTGCTCCTGGCAGCGGGCATCACACCAAAAATTCTGGGAGCTCTTCGTCCCCCAGGAGCCACCCAGGGCCAGCCACTCTTCCTTTGGAGCTCTTCTAGGAGCAGCGGTGATCAAGGCCCCCAGGCACACAGCTCCTGTGGGAACCCTGGGCCTTGTGTGGCCAGACTTCTAGAAGCCCTGGCTGGCAGGGCAGCTCGTCAGCTGGGGGGTTGGGGAAAGGCTTGGTCCAACCAGCATTTTATCTGGCTCCACATGTGTCAGGGAGATACCACCAGGGGAGGGACTGGAGAGAGGAAATCGTGGGCCCTCAGGTTCTCACTGCTGGGGGGTGGGGAGAGGTGCGGAAAGACTGCTCTCTGGGCACCTGTGCATGCTTGTGCTTGCTGTGGGTGCCTCCCCTCCTGTCCCCAAGCCAGATGGTTGAGCCCATCACCCTGCGTCTACAGGCAGGGTCCTTCTCACTGTGCCCTCATGAGGGTCGGTGACTCATGCTGTCCCTTGTGCCAGTTGTCTTGCTTTCCACTCCTCTTTCTAGTAACAACTCTGTCCTGCTCTAGGAGGGGCTGCACTGCTGGTCTGCCTACCCCCCAGCTGGTCCCCATGTCCATAGGTGGGGTCCCTCATGGAGGAGACATACCCTTTTGCTTTATCCCTTCCGTTTGCTAAGTAAGGCCTGTGGGTGGTGGGACTCCCACACGCCCACGGAGAAGGCCTGTGTGGAAGAGCCAGCATGGATGGAGGGGAACCTGCCAGGGAATGTGCTCCCTCTTCATCTCTCCTTACCTCGCAAGAGCCACCCCAGGCCCCACTTAGAAGCCCTTTTGAAGGCCTCACATCAACCCAAGGCTGAGGCAGCAGGTGGCCACCCATTCAGGTATTCACAGGGGTGTCCAACCTTTTGGCATCTCTGCGCCACATTGGAAGAATTGTCTTGGGCCACATATTAAATACACTGGGACACATAATCACACACACACACACACGTTTTAAGTAAATTTACGACTTTCTGTTGGGCTGCATTCACAGCCATCCTGGGCTGCATGCGGCCTATGGACCTCAGGTTGGGCACCCCTGAATAGGGTCCATGATCAAGTTCTTGGGGGGCGTGGACAGGCACCCACACACTAGGAGACCCAACAGTCCTCACACACCCTTGGTGGGTCTGCTGAGCAGACGCTCCCACCATCCTCTGGCCAGAAGATGACCCAAACCCCAGTTCCTTGCTACGGCCAGGCCGTGGGCAGAAATGACTCTGACTCTGAGCGCCTGATGGCCAGACCCCTTTGTGCCTGCATTTTAGGTGGCATGCGGGCATAGTGGATGCTTCTGAGGTTCTGAGGCCAGGCTCCTGATTCTTCCCTTCCCGGCAGAGAAGAGGGGAGAGCAGTGGGGGCGTTTGAGGGCTCTCCATGACTCCTTAAGCCCGAGTGTCACAGCCTGGGTAACCCCAGCCTCCCCAGTCATGCCCCAACCTGTAGGCAGCCTGGAGAGTGCAGCTCATCGTCCAGTGACCCGGAGGCCGCTGCCAATCATGCGTTATGGGCCTCACTGCCCAGTGGAGCAGGCCCAGTACAGAGGGGTGAGCCAGCTCAGGGGTTGGGGCTGCTAGCTAGCCCTGGGTCAAGTTCAGGCATGCCACCCTCACCCCTCCCCTCCCTCAGCCCAGGCACTGGGCATATGTACAATGTGTGTATGGGCGGGGGGGGCTTGCTGTTTGTGACCCCAAGGTCAGGTGTCTGTGCCAGGTTGTAGTCCTGAAGCAGCCACCAAGCCAAATGTGGGTCAGTGTGAATTGCGCAGGCTGCATTGGGGGAGGGAGAACTCCGTCAAACCCCAACAGTCCTGCCTGGCACTGTGACCAGTGTCTGGCTGGAGCTTGCGGGTAAGCCAGGATTGGAACGTTTTAAAGAGCCTAAAAGAAAAAGCACACGAACTTCTTGCTCAGGAAGGCAGGCGGGGCTGAGACAGGGGTCAGGGGGCCGGCACTCTTCCAAGGGGCGGTCACAGCTAGGGTGAGGGCGGGGAGGGCCTCCCTTCAGATCAGTACGAGAAGGCTTCTAGAACATCTGCGAGCTGTGACCTGGGCGCCCTGTGGGTAGGCGCAAGGCGGGTCCTGGAGGGCTGGTGGGAGGTGGTGGTTTAGTGGAGGCTGCAGCCGGGCAAGGGGGCTTCTGAAGGGGACTGTTTTAGGGCGTGTACTGTGGGCACTCGGGCGCTCTGGGAGGGGTGGTCCAGTGGGGGCTGCAGCCGGGGTCCAAAGGACAAACGGGGCTGGGCCGTGTCTCCCATTTGGCGCCCAGGCGTGCTCCACGAGGGGACCGCGTGACCCGGGGAAGTGACGTGGGCGGGTCAGGGAACTGCGATCCGAGATGCGAAATGTATGCATGTGTGGTCCCAAGAGGTGACTCTCCGCTTACATGAACGCTCGTGAGTGAGACCTCCGACTGCCGGGCCGGAGATGGAGGGACGCGGGCGGGGGGACTGGTCGGGGGCACGGATTCTGGGCCTCAGAGGTGAATGCAGAGGGCGCCCGTTCTGGATCTTAGGGGCGAACGCAGAGGGATGCAGGCCGCGCACGCCGCGGTCCTGATGAGGCGCGGGCGGAGGGCTGCGGGTGCCTGCGGGCGTGGGGGGGCCCTGAAGTGAGTGCGGCGGTGGGGTGGGGTGCAGGCGGCGAATCTCAGAAATGAGTGCAGGAGGCGCGGACCGGAGCCTGCGTGCAGGGTACCGTGGGCGCACGGTGACACAGACCCATTTCTGTCAACGGGTGGCCGTGGGCAACCGCGCGCGGCCCCACCCCCCCCCCACTGCCCGCATGTGTGGACCCCCTGTTGTGCCGCTGGAAGCCTGCTGCCGCCGCGGCTTTTCTGCCACGTGGTCGCGGCGCGCAAGTCCGCGGCCGGGAGGGCTCACCTCCGGTCGTCTCCCCAGCGGTCCAACTAGTTGGTGCTGTGAACGCCGCCCCTACCCTCCTCTGGTCCCGCGGACCCCTGGTGCCTTCCCGGGGAAACCACCCGGGAACCCTAGCCGCTTTGACCGGAAGCGCCAAGAGGCGGGAGCCCCGCCCGCCGCGCGCGCGTAAATTTCGTGACCCGCCACCTTCCGGTCCCGACTGTTCATCAGCTCCTGAGCCTCCTGGTGCCTGCGCTGGGTACTGAGTGCGCTGGAAGTTGTTTCAGAGCCCTGGGACAGTGTGTCCGCAGCCCGTTCCCGAGTGGATCCGTCCTACCCCTGAACTAGAGGAGAACTGTTCCCGGGGGTCCTGGCTACCTCCCTGTCTGAAACGATTGTCCTGGGTCGGGGTGCAAACTGTGTGGTCATATCACAGGGTGCGCACTCTGCTGGTCTCAGGATACAGAGTAGAATCTGGGTGGGCCCAGCAATCCAGAAGGCATCCAGGGATATCCAACCTGCCACAATCATGAATGTGGCCCAACAAAAAATCGTAGATGTACTTAAAGCATTATGAGCTGTTTCTGTGATTACATGTCACAATGCATTCAACGTGTGGCCGAAGACAACTAACTCTTCTTCCAGTGTGGCCCAGAGATGCCAAAAGGTTGGACACCCCTGATGAGAGGAAGCTGTTTATGTGGCTGCCCAAAGTGCAGGACGGATAAAGCCCTTGCAGCTGCGTGCTGGGTGCCCTGCCCAGAAGTGACCCGGTGCCTCCTGCCCCTCAGGGAGACTGCGGGGCCCTCTGCAGACCAGACTGAATCTGCAGAACCAGGACCCTCTGGCGCAGCAGGATTGCATCCCTGTGCAGGTCTGGGGGCCCAGTACCCGGGTCCCGGGTCCCCAGATGGTGCATTACTCTGCTGCCTCTGTTGGACTGCATCCCTCCATCTTCGTCCTCTCGTTGGCCCTGCTTATCGCCTCGGTGGATTTAATACAAACCCAAATGTTACAGTTACCTGTGCAGGGCAAAGATGACCAATACCTCCAGGGTGTTTTAAACTTGTGGGCTGGGTATCTGTAGCATGGGTGGCCAGGGATTGCTAATTGTACAACTCTATCATGGGGTGTGGGGCAGGGATGCAAAGATTTTTTTTTTTTTTACTGGCAGGTGTTTTTAAAATATAAGAAACCTCCCTGGTAACCTGGGAGAGTAGTGGCTGGTTTAAAATATAACACAGGAGAGGGAGTGTTTGCTTGGGTCTCCTAGGTGCTGGGAGGACAGAGCCAGGGGAAGCCGCTGGTGCTCCACACTCCGCCAAGGGCAGGTGCAGAAGGGGTCTGAGGGGGAACTGTAGGAGCCTTCTGAAGCAGATGAACAGGTTTTTGGGGAGGCCACCCCATGATTCTCCAGCTGGCCCCGAAGAGGCCTGAAGTTGCACGGGGCTGGGCTGGGGTCAGCACCTGTGGGGTCCAGGCCTGGCCCTGGCCTGCTGCCCACTGATCCTGAGCTGGGGCTCCTCACTTGCCTTCTGTGCCCGTTTCTGTGCTGTGTCCCTCCCCCTCATCTCCCGGGAGCCCCAGATTGGGCCGGGCCAGCGTGGAGAAGAGAAGCCTGTGCCTTCCAGGCCAAGGACTTTGAGCCTTACCTGGGATGCTGGCTGCCTGCCACCGTCGGTGATCGTGCTCACATGAGCTGAGTAAGTGGACAGAATGAGACTTCAAGCAGGCAGACCCCACCCCGGGTGGCAGGGCCCAGCCTCGGTAGCGGAGGGCCCTGGCTTCTGAGTCAGCTCTCTCCTTTGAACCTCAGTGGCCTTTCCTCCAGGAGGTACTGAGTAATGGCCAAGCTGCCTGCTGTGCCCTGGACTGGGAATCTGCTTTGTAAACATGTTCTGGCCCCAGGGTGCTCCACATTTTTTCCGTTGTTAAAAATGGATTTCAGATAAGACCCTGGATTTTTGGCCTCTGCTCCTTCTCATGCCCCCCCCCACTCCCCGTCCTGCCCGGCTCTCTTTGAAGTTGCCCAGTCTTCTGGCCCTCGTCTTTTTTGTGAGTTTTTGAAAGTGTGTGCACAGCACAGTGTGGAGAATGCACAGGAGAGACGCACGTTCCATCGGGGACGCAAGCCCCAGTCCCAGGGCAGGCCTTTAGCTCAAAGAAATGTGACCACTAACTGCCCCACACGTGGAGTCCCCAGGGCATCCCTTTAGTTGGTCTTGCCTCAGCCTGAAGCGTTGGCACCTGTTATGCACCTCAGGAGCAAGGTGGGGGACTGTGCTAGTTATGAGGCCCAGTGGGTTGAGCCCCTCCCTGGGCAGTGACCCCAGATTGCAGGGGTGGAGCTGGAGGGGAAACCTGTGAGGTCGGGTGCTTGATGGGTCGGCCCTGAGACAGAGCCTGTGGGATGAGGAGGCAGCCTCGGGTGCCACCAGGAGAGGTGGCACCATGTGAACCCCGTCTCTCCTGCCCTGGACTCCAGGTATCTGTAGACACTCCCCCATTCTGTGACCTCCATCCATGTTGGGGGCTCGGTGGCCATCACCTGGAGTGGTGCCTTGCGTGTCCATCCTTCCGGGGAGTGCGGCTGGGCACTTGTGTTGTGACTGTGGAGAACTGGGTGGCTGAGGATGGGTTTGCCCTGAAGCCTGGATACTGGATGTCCAGGGGGTGAGCTTGTCCAGACCAGCCAGGAGTCCTGGTGCAGTGTCTCCTGGGCTTGCTCACTTGGTCGCCTGTGGGCATGCCCATGGCACAGGTTAAGGTGCAGAGTCCTGGGCTAGGCGCAGACTTTCAGACGGCCCCATGGGGTGGGACCCACAGCTCGTTTTATGATGTGCTCTTCTGTAGTTTAAGAAGCACCGCCTGGTGGTTTCAGAAGCTGTAGGCGTGCAGGATGTAGGAACGAAACCACGAGCGCTGGTGGGACTGGTGTCTGAGACCGCTGCCACTGCCCCAGGATTCGGGTACCCCAGGTAGGAGGGTTCCCATTGCTTCTGGAGATGACAGGATGGCCAAGTACAGGGCTTCTGGGGGCCCTGGGCTTAGTTAAAGTCTTGGCTGTTCACCCCATGCCTGTTGCTTGGGTAGGTGAGTTAGTCACTCTGGTTTCCAGGGGGCAGAGCACTCAGTTCACTGGGAAAGTGAACTGAGGGTTGTCCTGGAACTGGAACGGGGCCCCTGGTAATGTGTGTACCCCAAGGTGGGCAGCTCTGCCTGGGGTGCGCCCCCTGGTCTAGGGCTGCCCCCTCCATTGAAGGGGCCAAGGCCCCCACAGCTGTTTGTGTGCGAGCTCCAGGGGGGTTGGAAAAGCTGCCTCAGACCTGTATGGCCTGTGTGCTCCTTCCAGAAGTTGCAGGTGCCAAATCTGGGCTGCGGGGGGTGGGGTGGGGGATGAGGGGGTGGGGTCAGGTTCACTGTGCTCTCTCGGCTGGCTGATTGTTTCATTCGGCTCCTTGAAATGGTGGGGGAGGAGCCATCCCAGGACCCTGTAACTCTCAGGCCACTGTTACCCCATCACCGCCTCCCTTTGAAATTTTCTGGAATTCCCGAAGCTGCCCCTTACCCTCGCCCTGTCTTACCTTTTGGCCCCACAAACAAACCCACCAGCCTGGTTTCTTGAGACATTTCACTGTGGCCCCCTGACCTCCTTTTCCTGAGCCAGAGAAATAAATACGGGGGCTGAGAGGGTGGAGGAATCTCACGCATCCCACCACGGTCCCCTTTGTGGAGGCCCTAGGCCTGTGCGAAGTCATCAGAGGTCTGGCACGAGGTCTCTCTCTGCCCTTGGTGGCCCCTGGGGGATCTTGGCGCTCATCTGGTTTCCCTGAGCCTCATCCAGGAGGAGCGTGGGAACGTTTCCTTCTTGGATGGTCTCTGAGCAGCAGGCTGGATCGAGTGCCCAGAACCTGGTGGCTTTTCCAGAGCACCGGCTCCCACACCTCGGGAATTGTTAGTGTCCACTGCTTGGGAATTGGCAGGGATTTCTCCCCAAATCCAGACCCTCTGCAGGCACCCTCCCAGAGGCCGTGCAGTAAGGCGCATGGAGCTGTCCCGACGTCTCTCGGCCCGGCCCCCCTCTCCACCCGGTGTGTCCCCACCTGTCCAGAGCCACGGAGAAAGTGGACTCTTCCTCATTCTCACTGTGTCTGCTTGGCATGGGCACCCTTCGCCACCTGACACGGTTTTCAGGGCAGCTTGCTTTTTGACCCTCTCTTAAAAGTGAACTTTGTATCCGTGCCTTCGTGGAAAACCAATCACATTGCGGATTATGGCATAATCACATGTAGCATATACAGAAGTAGTAATAGAAACAAACAGCAGATTGCTTTGTATTGGGATAACTAGACGTGATTATCTGCCCCTCTCTGTTATGTTAGAAAGGGTCATTGGTGGGCACAGAAATAATACCATCAGCCCTACACCAAACGGAGGCGCCACCCAAAGTGCCCCTGGGGGAGGCCACCCACCCTCAGCTCATGGCGCAGTTTGGAGCTCCGTCTGTCCCCTTTTCCTGGTCACACCGCTCTCCGGCTCCTGCGTCTTCCTTTGTCTCCCTCTCCTGCTCTGGGTCCTACCTACAAACCCCAACTGCCCATCCCCCAGTTTGGTGCACAACACCCCCCCCCCCGAGCCAGAGGCCAATGGGACAGCAAGGGCGGGCTGCCCCTGAGACCTCTCCCGGGAAGGGTGTGTGCCCAGCCCACCTGTTATGAGCAGTTGAAATGGGTGGTGTGCTTGGGAAACTGGATTTTAAGTTGCATCTAGTTTTAGTTAACATCAAGGGGTCCCCACAAGGCTGGTGGTTGCCCTAGGGGGTCGGGAAGCCCCGGATGATCCTTGAAGGTGGTGATAGTGCAGTCTGGGTGAATACGGCATCCGGGTTGTCGCAGGCTCCAGGTGGAGAGCGTGGGGCTGAGACCTGTGGGCTCCTCTCCCCAGCTCCACATGGGCGTGGAATCCTGCCTGAGTGAGAAAAGAAAGGGTGCAGCCGGGCTCTGGGGAGGAGGGGTGGTGTCCCCGGGCTGCCGATCTGCCCTGACTCTCTCTGTTCTTCCCTCCAGGGGCAGCATCACCTTCAGCCTCCCCAGGGCTGCGTGGGGCCTGGGCAGCATGGCAACCTCCAGCCAGTCCGTGGAGGAGCCGGTGCCCCTGGAGCCCCAGCCAGAGCCAGGGCCGGAGTCTGGGCCGGGCCGCAAGCTTCCGTCCTGGCAGTGCCTGGTGTTCTTCCTCTGCTTCTACGGCTTCATGGCGCAGATGCGGCCCGGGGAGAGCTTCATCACGCCCTACCTCCTGGGCCCCGACAAGAACTTCACGCAGAAGCAGGCACGTGGGCTCGGTGGGGGTAGGATGGGCCTGTAAACAAGGCGTAGCGTGGGCAGGGGCGGCACCCCGTGGATGGGGAAGCAGCTGGGGCTGTTGAGCTTACGTGGCCATGTGGTATCCTGGGTCCTGTCCCCAGTCCCTCGTGGGGCACCGAGGGGCCTGACTCCCACTTATTGACCAGACCAGTTGAAGAGTGACACCGGCCACAGGCGGTCCAAGGCTGCCGCCGGTCTCGCCAGGGGGTGAGAGTGTGCCCACCTGCTTCCTGCAGGGACTTGGCAGCCATTTGCCTAAAGAGATTACTGAAGGAATGTTTCTGTACTCAGCAGGGAGGACAAAGGACCTCCTTTGAAGCCTGACTGGGAAGCTTACACCAGAGGGCGTGGCGGAGGTAGGGGATGAGGCGGGACAGGCCCCAGCCCCAGTGCTCCCCTCCTGCTGTTGCCGTTTCCTGCGCCGTAAAACAAAACACAGACACTCAGGCCGTTGGTGGGTGAGGCGCACAGCCGGGGCCCCTGTCCAGGCTCTGGCCATCACCCTGCTCGTCCACCTGAAGACCCCCTGCGCTGCCCCAGAGCTGGTCCTGGGCTGCTTCCCCCTGCCCCCCAGCCTCCTCTGCCCCTCCAGTGTGGCCACCAGCCTCCCCACCCTCCTGGACTCTCCTGGGTCCCAGGGTGCCCTTCATTTCTTCAGGAAGCCCCTGCCTCTCCCTGGCCCAGAGCTGGGCCTCCTACCCCTTACAGACTCTCGAATAGTTTAAGTCGAATATGGTGGCTGTGCAAACATGGCCTGTCTCCTCCAAGTAGCCATCTTGGAAAGATAGAAATGACCACATACTGGCCCACATGAACGCAGAGCCCTGCTTGTCTGTCACTGCGTCTGATCCCAGGGCCAGTGCTCACTGTTGGCGCTGGTCCCCTCCCAGGTGAGGCTGGGCAGAGAGGCTGGGTCTGGGGCCTGTGCCTCCCAGACCCTCCGGGGGCTCCTCTGAGTAACCAGTCCCTCACGTCCCCCACTCATTGGTCAGCTGGAGTGCTCTCCTTCCTCGGAACACTGATCTGATCTTCAGGATGGGGGCAGGGGGCGGGCTGGGACGTTGTCTGCTGTGGCGATTACATGGGAAGCTCTGTTAATGGGAAAGGTCTCTATAGCAAAAACGTAAGTCCCATTCACCCGCTCGCTCGGGCTGCACGTGAACTGCGTATATAGTGGCTTCCAGAGAAGAAGCCCTGCCCCCAAGCTCGGGTGTCATCAGAGAGGCAACAGGCTTCCATCCGGGGAGCACACGTGAGCCGGGGCTGCCGGGCCCGTGTGGGTCAAAGACGGTCATACCCAAGTCGCACCCTCGGGGCTTCAACCACAGAGTGACCCGGTGCCTCTGCGCTCAGTTTGTTATCCCCAGGGGACCGTGCTTTATTGTCCCCGGCACTGACACCTGCTCCCCTGGCCTGTGGCTGCAGCTTTCAGTTTCCCTCTTGCCTCCCTGACCCTCTGCCCATCTGATAGCTGCTGGGTTTGTGTCTGCGATTTCTGCCACGGCGTGTTTCTTGGCTGTCTTCCTTTCCTCTGGGAACGCACCTGGGGAACTTGGCTTAGGCCAGCAGGAGGCTGATCTCTTGCTGGTGCTGGGTCTCTTGACAGACACCAGCTGCCCCAGGGACTTTTTGGGCTCCCAGGTGTGTGGTCCCTTGGTGGACACTGTCATCTGCAGGTGGAGAGGGGGGAGGAGATGAGAAAGACCAGCAGGTCCTCTTCTCTGACCGCCCCCCAACACACACCCCTGGGGCTACGACAGCAAGCTGCTCCCTGGCCAGACCGAGTCATCTGCCATAGGCCTCATCAAGGAGGGACTGTTTGATGTTCCCAGAATTTTCCGTAAACTTGTCCCGGACGGCTGTAACTGGGCTGTGGCTGTCGTGACCAAACACAGGCTATTTGGCTTCCCTGAGGGGGACTGACTTGCACCAGGAATGTCTTGGGGGGCCTTCACGGCTTGGTGTTTTAGGGACCACAGTCCTGAGGGTCAGCTTTGGCCTCCCATGGGCATGTGGGTTCAGGAGGCCGCCAAGCAGGGAGCTTCAGTTAGGGTCTCCTGACAGCATCCCTCTGAGTCCCCGGGGGCTGGTCAGCATGCGTGTCCATTCCGGGGTCCTGAGTCCGGGCTTGGCCGCGCTGCTCCAGCTGGCTCAGCAGCACGTCTGGGTGGGCAGATCCAGGGCTGTAGAGACGGACCGTGGGTAAACCAGCTGGAGGGAGCGGGTCCAGTCAGCCTCCGGGAGAGCCCCACCTGCTGACCGGGGCCCTACTCTGGCCCTGGGTTCCCATCTGTACGCTGGGTCCTCAGAGCACGCTGGCCTCGGGGCTGAGGGCCCCCTGTGCTAGTGTGAGCAGACAGTCGTGCTCACAGTATGATCGGGGTTGGGGGGCACTACCAAAGGGCCTGATTGGCGGCTGTAGTGCCGAGCCTCGTGGGGTCACCAGCCTGCCGTCCTGCAGGTCACCAACGAGATCACGCCGGTGCTGTCCTACTCCTACCTGGCCGTGCTGGTGCCCGTCTTCCTGCTGACGGACTACCTGCGCTACAAGCCAGTGCTAATCCTGCAGAGCCTGAGCTACATCTCCGTGTGGCTGCTGCTGCTGTTCGGCCACTCGGTGCTGCACATGCAGTTCATGGAGTTCTTCTTCAGCCTCACCATGGCTGCGCGCATCGCCTACTCCTCCTACATCTTCTCGCTCGTGCACCCCGCCCATTACCAGCGCATGGCCGGCTACTCGAGGGCTGCAGTGCTGCTGGGAGTCTTCACCAGCTCCGTGCTGGGCCAGCTGCTTGTCACCGTGGGCAGAGTCTCCTTCACCATGCTCAACTACCTCTCACTGGCCTTCCTCACCTTCACCCTGGTCCTCACGATCTTGCTTAAGCGCCCCAAACGCAGCCTGTTTTTCAACCACAGCGAGCCTGCACCTGGCGGGGCCTCGCCCTCTGAGCTGGACCAGATGCACCCGGGCGTGGACGGGCCTGCGGACAGAAAGCTGGGCGGGACGCGGCTAGCGGCCTGGTGGGACTGGACCCTCGTGCGCATGTTCCGGGAGCTGGGGAACAGCCTGCAGCTGCCACAGCTGCGCCTCTGGTCCCTCTGGTGGATCTTTAACTCAGCTGGCTACTACCTAATTGTCTACTATGTGCACATCCTATGGAATGTTGTTCAGCCCACTACAGACAGCACCAAGGTCTACAACGGTGGGGTGGACGCTGCCTCTACTCTGCTAGGTATGTGTAGCTGGCCCTACCTGCCCCACCTTCCTGCATCCATCCCAGGAGGGTGACAACAACTGTCCTGTCTCCCCAGGTGCCATCACCTCCTTCGCAGCGGGCTATGTGAAGATCCGCTGGGCCCTGTGGGCAAAGCTGGTCATCGGAGTTGTGACAGCATTGCAGGCTGGGCTGGTCTTCCTCATGTACCACACGAAGAGCATCAGCCTGTGCTATGTGGCCTTTGTGCTCTTCCGCGGCTCCTACCAGTTCCTGGTGCCTATCGCCACGTGAGTTGGGCTGTGTGGGGTGGACGAGTGGCCATTGGCCCAGGCAGCCACTAAAAGGTCCTGGAGGCCAGTTGGACAAATGGCTGCTGGAAGGCCATGCACCATCCCCCTTCAGGGTGGGGACTGATGGACTGTCTGTGTGTATTGACAGGCCTCCCTTCTAGAATGTTCTGTGAGGAGTAGAAGGGGTATGTGCCCAGCAGTGCGAAGCAAGTTTGATAGTGGGAGGAGCAGTGAACCCTGGACAGCTTTAGCCAGGGGCCCAATTGTCCGCTTGTCCACAGCATGTCAGTTCCAGCTGCCTGCTGTGACCTTGAAGCTCAGCAAGGAGCCTTCCTAAGTGACATATTCTCTGCTCCTCCTGCTGAGGCCACTTGAGGACAAGGACTGGTCCTTGTGAAGACTTCCCTCCCAGCCTCCCTGCCCTGTTTCCCAGGCCCTAAGTGCTGCTGTGGTCCCATCTTAGGTAGCCCCGTGGCCTCTCACACCCTCCTTCCCCACTGTGGGGAATGGTGGCTCTTGGCCCAGGATGACTGAGTGTGCCAGCTCACCTTCTGTCCAGGGTTCTCCTGATGCCCTCCTGCTCCTTACACCCCTACAGACCTCCCTGTGCCTGCCCAGGGACATCGGAGAACTGCTGCCCATCTGGCCTGTGCTTTCCAGAACCTTTCCTGACCCGCGTTCTGCTTGTATCTAAGACCCTCTCTGCTCCTTTGAGCCGACCTTTCACAAAGCTGCACACTCACAGCACACGCACTCACGCCACACGTGCTCACACCCCACAGACACACAGGAGCCTACCTCCCTGCGCCTCCTGCACCTAGCAAGTGTGTCTGTCACCACAGTCCCTCCAACTCCCCACGTGGGGCACCTCCAGTCCCATCCTCCTTCTAGTCACGCCCATGTCAGAACATCTGTCCTTACCTTCTCTTGAGCCGAGACAGTAGCCTCGGTCCCCTGACCCACAGCGGTGCCCCCGCAGTGGTGTGGTGGCCTGACTCCCCTGTGCCACCACCCACACTTGCAGCCTGCACCTGCCCTGGGCTCTGAGAGCCTGGACCAAACCCAGTGTCTTTCCTGCCCTGTTCTCGGGGCCAAATGCTGGCAGACACCCTGACCACACTCCTGCTAGAAGACAACCTTCTCGTTTAGCTGTCCAAAATGCAGGTGTATTTGGTCTTCTTGGTGGCAGGTGATGTCACGTGGCTAGTCCCCAGCTGATGGGGATGCCGTCTCCAGTACTTTACTACGACAGCCAACATTGAGATCAATATCCTCTCAACCTGCATTTTTCTTTCCAATTCCAGTCACGGCCTCAGATGTTCCCAGAAAGAGCCTGGCTAAGTCAAAGGTCATGTGCGCTAGCAAGGGGGTGTTGGTTGATGCCGCAGATGCTGCGGGGCATGCGCGCTGCCCCTGGGACTTGGGGACCAGCCTGCCTTTTCTCAGTGTAGCAGGGCTGGCTCCTCTCCTGGAGTTAGCGGCCCCTTCAACGCTGTGGACTCTTTCTGCTGAGACTTCTTTTTTCCTTATTGACCCGTAGTACACTTGTATCCTCCATGTGATAGGAGCCTTCAATCACGTGTGTTACGCTTTGCCTTTAACCCTACTTTCGGAGTTCACAGCGCACCACGTGAAACACTCGTGCCGGTGGCGTGGCGTGAGCCGTGCTGGCGGGGCCGGACCCAGCTCCGGTTTGCCAGGAGTCAGTCTGTCCTCCAGGCGTTTGACTGACATGGTCTTGTCTCCGTCTGTGCGCAGTCTGCGTCCTGTGGCGGCCCGTTCCAGTGTTTCCGTGCGTTTCTCGCTCCCGGACCCCAGTCCGGCAGAAGGCCCTTGGCTCCCAGCGTTCTCTTTAAGGGCTTCTTGGATGTCTCTGTTTGTTATATCTTCCAAACCTCAGAATGGTTCTTATGTAGTCATTATTATTACTATTATTTTTATCCTCACTCGAGGACATTTTTTCCTTTTTTTTTTTTTTTAGAGAAAGAGGAAGGCAGAGAGAGAGGAACAGTGAAGGGAGAAAGAAACATCTATCGGCTGCCTTCACATACATGCCCGGCTGGGGAGCGAACCCTGACCCTTTCGGTCGGCGGGTCACACTCCAACCAACTGAGCCACTGTGGCCGGGGCTAGTCATTATTTTTAAAAGCACTTTTGGGATTCTGATGGGAAGTGCGTTCAAATGTTAACTTCTTTGCAGAGGGCCGGGGGCTCTGAGCATAGCAGCTCCTTCTGCTCCCTTGATTCGTCCGCCTGTTTTCCCTGACTTATTGAATCATTTAATGACTTAAAATCACGAAGGACTGTAAGTCCAGAATGTTCCTCACGATGCCCTGCCCGTTCTCCTGAGGAGGATTTTCTGAGCACGCCGTAGTGAGCGTGACGCACTCTGCGTCAGGGTCACTGGGAGACCCCTCAGTGCCACCCCAAGGCTGCATTTGACAGTGTGCCGCATTCATTGTGAGTCGTTGAGGGAGGACGCGGTGGGTGGCCCGGGCTCTGGGCTGGGCTGACTGGTCTCCAGTGGCCTTGGTGGGCACGGCCAGTCAGCAGACCACATGGCCGTTCCTGGCAGCCCCTGGAGGCCCAGGGTTTCCTCTTTGTATTGCGGGCACTTCTTGTCCCTGCCCGCTGAGGCTGATCTGCGCCTGCTTCCCCATTAAGTTTTCAGATCGCGTCTTCTCTTTCCAAGGAGCTCTGTGCCCTGGTCTTCGGAGTCAACACGTTCCTCGCCACCGTTCTCAAGACCATCATCACCCTCATCGTTTCTGACAAGCGGGGCCTGGGTCTCGAGGTCTGCTTACAGGTGAGGCCCTATTTGGGCTTGCTTCCTTGGGGAGTGGGGACTCGGGAGGGATGTCTGGACCAGGGCCTGCCGGTGCCCACCCAACCAGCAGCACTGTCCCCTCCATGGGACCCAGCCCACAGATCCACCAAGCGCAGGAAGCATGCACGGCGTGGGCCAGGCGTTTCCAGCTGGACGCACTGGGCTTGCTGAGTCGGGTCAGGGACGTGAAGCGAGCGGCCCCGATCAGGGAAGGAGGGGTCAGAGGACCAGTGCCAGGGGGCCACAATCTGGCAGCTGCTGTACCAGCATGCAGTGCTCCCTCATGGGGCCCAGGTTGGGGCTGTAACGCCACCCATGTCTGGGTGCGGCGAGGCCAACTCCAGTCAGAACTGTGGGGCCTCTGATTTGGGCCTGGATGCAGGTCATTTGTGGAGGTCTTCTGGGCCCTGGGCATTGCCTACAACGGCTGGTGTCCCAGCAAGGATGGAGGCAGGCTGCGGGCCATTCCCCTGTGCTGCCACAGATTACCGCCCTCATTTCAGGTCTCTGCCTGTGATGTCAAGGCCTATTAGACCCAGGCCCTTGTTCACGTGGCAGCGGTTTGTCTTCTTTACGGAGGACAGACGGAAGGGGAGCGGGTGGGGCGGCCCCTGGAGCCTGCTGGCCCCTCTTTAGTCTCCCTTCGTCTGACCCCAGGCCGATGCTTGGTGCTTCTGGGAAGAGCTTGAAGGTGCATGCCCGCCCTCTGTGAGGTGGGGGACACTCACACGTGTGACTCTCACATCTGCTGTGGGGTGGAGAACACTCACACGGGACTCCTGGTGTCCTCAGCCAGGGCAGGGCTTCTCTGAGCGAGCCGGGATCAGCCGGAGGATGGGCCAGCGGGAGGGTTGAAGCTGGGGTCTTCGGTAACCGGCCTGTGGGGACGCAGCCTCCTCCTGTTTGGAGCCAGGGCCTCACTGGGTAGGGGGTCTCTTGGGTTTGGTGGGCTCCATGAGATGTCTTGACACTGTGTGAGGGTGCTGGGTCAGTATCGCCTCACTGGCTGCGTAGCAGGAAGGAGATGCAGGTGGGACAGACCCTCCTGTGGAAATGGGCTTTTGGGGTGGGGCTTGGAAGTGCCCTTTAGGTGAAGAACATCAGAGTTTCTCATGCTTCATGTCCACACAGGCAGGTGGGTCTCCACCCTGCTTCTGTAGGGCCTCCAGGCACACCTCCCAGTCCCCCCAGGCTGAACACTGTGCACTGTCCACCCTGAGCAGGCTTGGCAGAGCCCCCCGTGGACCCGAGGGACTCTGGCCCACAGGTGCCTGCGCCACTGTGCGTGTTGGGAGGGGCTCTCTGGAGGGCGTGAGCCCTGTGCCCAGGGACGGGTGGGTCGCAGCCTCCTTCACTGATACTGTTGCTCACCGTCCAGGGGAAGCCTCTCCTGGTGAGGGCGTCTCTGCAGGGGCAGCACCCTTGGTCAAGGGCCTTCTCGTGGAGCCTTGCCCGGCAGCTGGCCAGCTGGCCTGCAGGGAGCCCCGGCACCTGGAGGAGCCCCTCCCCCTCCTCGGAGCCCTCAGCTGTCCCTGCTCAGCCGTGTGGCCTCATAGGGTCCCAGGACTGGATAGGAAGGGCGTGAGGAACATTCCCAAGGGCGGGGCCTTCCCCAATGGTCCTGTTCCCAGCCCCTCCCACTTGGTTTCTCTCCGTTGGGTCAAACCCAGAGTCATACATTGATTTAACTATTTCTGAGTTAAAAAGTAACTCTAGAAGTGGGGCGTTTGTGCATAATTGGAAGTGCTGATGGGGTTCCGGAGGCCAGTCCCTCCCGCTGACCCTCGTCTCCTGTCTGTTCACCGCTCGGTCTCTTTCACTTCCTCCTGAGCCGTGACAACGGGCAGATGTTCAGGCCCAGAGAAGTCACAGCACGTGGGGCCAGTGGCCGAGAGCTGCCCTGGGCGTGCTTGTTTTTCTAAAGTAAACTTTCAACTTTCGGGTAACTGTTCACTCACACGCAGTGTGAGAGGTGATGCCGAGACCCACGTACTTTGCATCTAGCTTCCCCACTGATCACGTCCTGTGGTTCTCCAGAGACAGGAGGTTCCCTCCCCTCGGGGCCCTCAGGCCCCGCCCCCTGGCTCCCACCCGCTCCTCCCCAACCCCTGACAACCGCAGTCTGTACCCACGACTTTGCTCACTGAGTCCTTTCTCCGTCCTGTGGTACAAGGGTCTGTCTTCTCCATTCCCATCCAGTTAAGAAAACCTCCTTTAGCCACTGTTTTAGGACAGGTCTGCTGGTGACAAATTCCTCGCTTAGGTTTTTTTTTTAAATCTGAGAATGTCTTGATTTCCTTTTTATTCCTAAAGACAGATATTCCTGAAAATCGAGGCTTTTGGGCTGATGGTTTTTTTTTTCAGCATGTGAAACATGTGGCCTTCCTGGTTTGTGATGGAAAGTCCTGTCATTCTCACTGTTTTTCCCCTAAGGTGTCGTTTTTTAAAAAGGCTACATTTAAGGTTTTTCTTTTTGTCTTCAGCTTCCCGAAGTTTGAATATGGGGTGTGGTGTTCTTGCTACCGCTGGGTGGGGGTGAAAGTCCTGAGTCCACAGGGCTGGGGTCAAGGGTCATTACCACCTGGTGGGAGTAAAAGTCCACACTTTCCATTTGGTTTCTGTGGCGGGAACGCTGCAGCTCCCCACTGGGCCTTGAGCAATGCCACCCCGTGGGGCAGGGGCCTCTCTGCAGCCTGAGTAATGAGGGTGCGTCTGAGCGGGGCTGTTTCATCTGTTACTTCCTGTCTTGCCGGGCTGTCCCTGTCCTGGTCCTCTGGCGGAGAGAGCAGCTTTTTTTCTACATATGTTGCCATTTCTGGATTGCAGGCTTGTTTGGTTTCAAAATGCCTGCAGCAAAAAGGAAACAAAGCCCAGGACCCACTGTACATCACCGTGCTGTGCCTCGGGCCCTGGGGTCCCTACTGGGCTGCCCCTGATCTTCCAACTCACTTCCTTATGTGTCCCAGGGTTGCAGTCATATTGGGGGAGAGTATGGGAAACGTGTGACTCCATCCTCCTGGGAGCAAAGCCCTCCACAGTGTCCTTCCTGGCTTACTTTTGCAATGAGCAGGTTTCCTGGAAGGGCTGGGGTGCTGGTGCTGTGATGGGCTCAGGGAGGGACTCGGGCCTGGTCTGGCGCTCAGATGCCTCAAGACCACCCGTCTCCCTGGTGGTGGTGAGAATCAGGAGGGGCGTCTTTGTGGGCTGCGTGTGCCTCCCTTTGTGTCACCACCGTGCAGCTTTGCCTGTCACCAGGGCGGCCACTGGCTCACTGCACAGGGGCTGCCCAGGTCCCAGGCTGCCTGCCCTTGGCTAGACTCCACCGCAGGTGTGGATGTCCACAAGCTCTCCGCATGTGGGAACTCTCCCCATGGAGCCAAGTGCACGTGCGTGGTCCCTGAGCAAAGCACCTGGGAGCAGATCACAGAGGCAGCAAAAGTGCCACGGTTCTGCAAGAAAGTGGTGGGAGCCAACCCCGCCCCCCCCCCCCAGCCCCAGTGCTGTGTGTGGTGTGGTCAGGAGGACTTTAGCACTGTGGAACCTGCTCCTGGGCTGGCCTCTGCCCCCTGGGTGCCCATCCCACCCTAGCAGGGCTCCCGTGGCCTCTGAGCAGGAGGAGGGAGAGGGAGGACCTCCCAGCTGCCCCTCCCTGTCTCCCCTTCCCCTCACCAAAGCCCCCTTCACCCCCAGGCTGCTCCTCACCTCCCTGTACCTCTCTCTGTTCCAGTTCCTCGTCTACTTTGTGTACTTCGTGCTGCTGTCCATTGCCTACTTCTTCGCAGCTGCGCTGGGGAGCCTGTGGCACTCCCAGCGGGACCGCCACCAGCCCGAGCCCCTGGCCCAGGAGCTAAGTAGCCCCTTGAAGGAGAAGGACGTCCAGGCGTTGAACCTGCAGGATGGGGCCCTCAGCAACCTGCAGCCCGAAGCCACGACCCTGGCCCCGGAGGACAGCACGTGGGCCAAAGGGCCAGTCTCGAGGGAACTGCCTGAGGCCAAGGCCTGACCTGGCGTGCTCCATCTGCCCAGCCCAGTGCGTGGCCAGATTCCTGACACCAGAGGACACCTGCTCTGCATCTTCCAACATTCTCACTGAGCCTGAGCCTTGACATCTGAGAACTGTCACACCCCTGGCAGGCTGCCCATCTTGGAACCAGGAAGAGGAGTTTCTGGCGTTGGTTGAATTCCATTGTTCAGACTATGCAACCGGTGACCAATGGGGCCCCTATGGCACACACCTCAAGGGCTACTTACCTCAGCCAAAGGCGCCTTCGCTGGTCCTGCAGTGTCCCTGAGCCCTGTCTCTCGGGCTCCACAGCCTGACTGCTCTGTAGCCTGCTGGGGACACTACTGCCAGATCACCAAGGACTGGGTTGTGTCCCCTGCCTACACAGGGCTGCCGGTATGGTTCCGTGTGCGCACCAGGCCTCCCATCTTCATCCCCCTGGGAGGCAGGGTCCCGTGACTCGGTCCCAGATGCCAGTCCAGGGGACACAAGCCCCTGTAGGATGTTGTGGGCCCTGTAGGATGTCATGGGCCCTGTAGGGTGCGGGTGGTAGCCCAGATTCTCAGGGCCCGTGGCTAGGCTGACATTTCTAGATGTCCAGGTGGTTGAATGGTAAACAATGCTGTGTTGTGTTTTTTTTAACTGACATAAATGAGAAACCTCATTGGGCTTCTGTTTCTGTGGGCAAAGCTGGGTGCGGGGCAGGCAAGCAGGCAGGCAGGCGTTTCCCTGTTGGGGGAATGGGGGGGGGTGCCAGCGTCTTTGGGAGCTAGCTCCTCCTTTGCCTCGGGCCCTTTGTCATCTTCTCCCTTCCTGAGGCTGGTGAACACTGGCCTGCTTCATGGGTGACAGAGGGCCACTGGGGCTGCTTGCACACCAGCCTGGAGGACACGCCACCTGGGGCTCTGGGGACCAGTGGTGCTGCTGGGGATGTGAGACCCGAAACACATTAAACAAACCACATGGCCCGAGTGTGAGGGCTTCCCAATTCCAAGCTGGCCTGGGGGGTCAGGGGGGATGCTACTGGCGTCCACTGAGAGACCAAGAAGGGCCCAGCCCCTGCCACCAGGCAGGAAGGGATCTAACCAGGGCCCACCATGTCCTTGATGCTGCCCTTCCCATGTCCCTCTGCCCTCATGCAAAGCAGGGGCAGCTCAGCAGCACCGGAACCATCAGCGTCTGGAGGAAAGGCTGCTGCTTGGAGCCAGCTCAGCACAGAGAGTCTGGAACACACTACTGGCTGAATGGGGCACTTTGGGTGCCCTGAGAATTGAGGAGGAGGGTGCACACGGGTTGGCCCAAGTTACAGCTGATGGTGTGGGTCAGGCTGGTAGATTGGTACCCAGGCACGTCCACACAGGCTGCCCCCCACCCCAACCCTCCTGGGAAGGGACAACACTGTTTTGCTTCTGTTTGGAGATGGAGTGGGGCTTCATGGGTTGGTTGGGGGGTGTGGGGTCTTACCTCTGGTCACTGACCCCATGGTTCAGGGCTCTGTGCTCTTGCCCTGGGATGCACTTCCCCCTGCTGCCCCCAAAACATCCTCAGCAGCTGGCCCAATGGCTCCCTCTGCAGCCTGTCCATGTGCACAGCATGGCCTGCGGCTCAGACCCTGCGTCCAAGCTCCCAGAACCGCCTTTGCTGATCCCAAGCCCCTTGGCCACCAGAGCCGGGTGGCATTTGCTCCTGGGGCACCAATGAGGCCCTGCTCTGTGCAGTGTGCCTGATGGCCCCTTGGGGTCAGACACCTCCCGGAACCTGGCCAGCTGCAGCAGCTGTGGAGAGAGCACAGTGCCATGGGTGGGAGCCCAGGGCAGAAACCCCCCTCCACCCCCCACAGGCCTGGGAAGGCTGCCACCCCAGGGAGAACTGAGAGGGGAATTGTCATGTACACCCAGCACCTCTGTACACTCGGGGACTTCCATTCACACCCATGTGCAGTTCTGTGTACCTGCACGCTGCACACCAGGGCTCCCTCAGGGTCTGCCTGCTGGGGGTGTGGGGATGGAGGCCCCTGAGAGCTGGTTTCAAGACAGTGGAGGCTGCCTGCAAACCAGCGTCTGTGCACGTGGTCATTATTTGGAGCCTGTTCAGAACCACATCCGTCATCAGGACCCGCTCGTTTTATGGCTGCGGTGCACGGACAACAGACCTCGAGGGGGTTGGGCTCTGGCCTGCCACCTCTCCCAGCATGGCCACCAAAGGGACACCCACCTGCTCCCCAAGAGCCCCATGTGCACTCTGGAATACCCCCTGAAGCCCTCCCACAAGGACTGACATGAACTTGGAGACGCGCTGTTGCGGACGGTGGGGAGCAGGGCAAAGCGTGCGGCCTCGCCCCACAGCTGGTTTGTGGACACGGTCCAGTCCTGTCCTGTCCTGCCCCCAACCGTGATCCCTTCCAGGCTCCATTCAGGGCTCAGCAGCCGGCAGTCTGGCCAGGGACAGGAAGCGGTATCCTAGTACACACTCCTAGGCAGAGCTGGGCCTGTGTGGGTGTCGGGAATTCTCACTCCAGAAAAGGGGTGCTGTCATGCCCTGGTTTGTGGGACCCTCAAAACACCCAGCACAGCCATGGCTGGGTCAAGCTCTGTACTCTGTGACCTCACAGGTCACTTGGGGAGCCAGCGCAGGACAGAGACCCCAAGGCACAAGGCTGGCCTCAGTGAAAAGGGACGCACAGACCGCTGCACATACAACAGGAGCCAGGGCCTGGGAGCCAGGGTCAGCAAGGGGACACTGAGTTTGGAAACTGCTCCAGCAGAAGTGGGGTATTGCTGCAAGAGGCCACGGGGAGACGGTCACCCCTTGCACCCGAGGCCCGAGTCGCCCTGACTGCTGGCCACTGCACCAGGTAGAGGAGGGATGGGGGAGGCTGTGGCTGGTCTGCAGGCAGATTTGGGATTTGCAAACCAGAAAGGGTTCCAGGCAGGGACTGAGTTAGCACCTGCACGGGGCAACTGAAGAACCCACTGGGAGCTTGGGGCACACACACTCCCCAGGGCAGTGAGTGCAGGAGGCAGCAAGAGAACAGGGCTGGGTGGGGCCCCTGGTCTGATCTGAGGACAGCGCCCTGCATGACCGGGCCACGCCAGCTGGGGCATGGGAGGGGGCAGGGCAGGAGAGAGAGTTAGCACTAGCCTTTCTGTTTTAAACTTTTTTAAAAATACACTCTTTGGCTTTCTTTTATTTCTGGAGGATTATATGAAATGTGAACCACACAGGAAAGTGTCCCAGCCAGGTCCCCTCTCTGGGGTGCCGGCTGCCGCTCCCTGCCTGGCACCGGGGGCTTCTCCACTCCCCCTGCCATCTGTCCATCCATCCGTGCGAGCTGGCAGGAGCCCTAATTGGAGGAGGTCATGAAGCTGTTCTCGATGCAGAGGACGATGAAGGCATTGTGGCAGCTGGCGGCTTTCTGCTCCAATAGCCTGCCCGCCAGCAACGAGGAGGCCTGGCCCGTGGCTGTCGTGGCCTCAGTCCGCCAGGTCTCGCAGTAGCTCTCAGTCAGCCGGCGCCCACTGGGGTCTGAGCCGTGCCACACACTCTTCTGTGGCCTGCAGGACACATGGGCGGTCAGTCTCACCTGGCCCTGCTACCCCAGGGGTGGAGGCCACCCCCGGGCAGGAGGCCACCCCCGGGCAGGAAACGGCCGAGGTTGTGGTCGGATGTGGTGGCAGCGGGTCAGGCCATCATCCCTAGTCACCGGGGATGCCGCCCTTGGAGCGCACCCCATGCTGCCACTGCTTTTGGGGGCACAGTGTGGGGAGCAGGCTCTATGACCCTGAAGACAGGTCCCTCGGGGCTGGGTGCTTTCCAGTGAGGGCAGGGCACACACTTGTCCTGCCCACTAGCCACGTTTTAAGCGCATGTGCTGGGGGGGACAGGCGCCCTCACACTGGGCCAGCACAGGGTCGCTGGGTGCGAGGGCAAACCGACAGCTGTCACTAGTATTTGAAGTGCACACATCCTCCAACTGGGAAACTCCACTTTGCGGAATTTACAGGAGAAACCGCTCGCTGTGGAATCTATGTGACGGTCGGTCAGCGGGAGCGGGGTAGACCCGGCAGGCCCCTGGGGTGCCGGCCATCGGCTCGCTCTTGGACAGCAGCGGCGGGGAGCCTGCCCAGGGAGCAGGCTGGGGACTTTCGTTTTGCACAGAGAATGCTTTGTGGCGGGCGTTAATGCTCTCCTGGACCTGGTGAGTTTTAAACAGTGAGCATACACTTGCTGCAGAAGCAGACTGGAGACAGAGGGGCAGAGTTGGGGCCGTCCCCGGCCAGGCCTGCATTCTGTAAGATTCAGAGCCCCTCCCCCTCCAGCTGCTGCACTCATAGGGGCACCTACCAGGCGGGGTGTTGCAGCACGTCTCTGCCGTCGAAGGAGAGGATGCGGGCGCCGGGCTTCAGCTGGCCCCGGGAGCCCGAGAACAAGGCCTCCCAGCTGGGAAACAGCTCCTCGTCCTGCAAAGGGAAGTGAGGCTGGTTTGCCCACCTCTGGCCAACCCCCGCCAGAGGACCAGTGGCCAGGCGCCTCAGCAGACCAGGCACCTTCCCCAGCCTGGGCCCCAGGTCTGGGGAGAGCCCACCCTGGCCCTGAAACACTGGTGCTCCAGAGCATCCAAAAAGCACATGACGATGTGTGAAGAGCCATGAAATAAAGCCACTCGAAGGGCACGGTGGCACAGGGCCCTTGCTGGGTTCCCGGGGCGTGACTGGCCCAGTGAGCCCTGAGCCCCAGGTCCCTCGTCCCAGCTCCGGGAGCCCCATGCTCAGGGCCGTGCACTCACCCAGAGGTTGACGATGGGCACAGTGGCGCGGTCAGCACGACGCACGATGCTGTAGAGGTCCTGCAGGCGTGACGACAGGAAGGCGCGGAAGGTGCCCGCCAGACCCGCGGCACGCGCCTGCTGGAAGCACTGGAGGTCGGCGCCACGGATGCCGCGTAGGCCACCAGGCTGTGGCCCGTTGAGTGCAACCAGGTGCAGCTGTAGGAGAGCCATGGTCAGCCGAGGTCAGCCATAGTCAGCAGTCCCAGCTGCCCCCTCCACCCTGCCTGCTTTCCTCCTGCCTGGCCCTGCATAGGCAATAGCAGTGAGTTTGAGTACAGGTCCAACCTGCAAGGGCTGAGTACAGCCACTGGGACCCTGGAGAACCAGCCTGGGGTCCCTCAGCCCAGGACGGCAGAGACGTTTGGTGTGCTGGGCCAACACCAAGCCCGTCTACCTCCTGAGCAAGTCCCTGTCCTCAAGCCTCGCCAGCCACCTCTGCAGAAGCAGCTCTGGGGGACTCCATCCCCAATGCTGTCATAGGCACCAGCCCCGCTTCTCCAGGACATAAGCAAGGACTGGCTACAAAGGTGGACACCACCGAGGGCAGTCCCAGGCCCGGAGAACCCTCCCTGAGAGCTCAGGGGCTGGTGGGCGCTCAGCCCCCGGGGTCACTCACCACTGGATGGAAGTCCTGGTGGGTGTGGGCAGGAACGCCAGTGGGGCGGGCTGGCCGGGGGTGCACGTAGGAGCCGTGGTGTGGGGCTCCAGGGTAGGGCTGGGGGTCCAGCAGGCGCGGGGGCCTGGCCAGGATGTCATCTGCCCGCCAGGGCCGTGAGGTGGCGGGGGGCAGTTCCCACCGGGGGTGCGGGTTACCCTCGTGTAGCTGTACCAGA